GAGAGTAACATAAGAAATACATTAGATTGTAAACGACAAATACAGTTTCTATAAATACAATTATTTTATATTCATACAGTACAAAGAAATGTTTGGATTCCAGTTCTAGGTAAATAGGCCGCGTGAAGTAGACATGTAATTATCTTACTGCATTATATTATGTGTGAACGGCAAGTAGAGTTAAAATATAAAGAGATCTCACGGCGTGCAGAACGCGCATACTATATCCTTTGAAAAGCTGGTAGCATTATAACCATAGAGTTCAAATGCTTCCTTCCATAACAATACTAAATTCGCAATATTCAGCTACCAAAGCCAGGTTTGTTGGAAAGTCAAGAATAATATCTTTGAAGAATCGCTGTTTCCTTTCAACCTTAGATCACTCCTAAATATTTGTTTGTTACATTAATGCGATGCTTTGTTTTTCAGATTAGTACGCGCGCGTGTCGCAGCAACGTAACTCCTGCCATTGTGAGACGGGCCCCTTATTGGGCAGGAGATCGAACTATAGGGGGCGCTCTGACCCGTTTGTTTTCCCCACGCTCGGTGTTTACTCAACACAAGGCCTGTGCACATGCCGACAGGCCTTATGGGCATGGGCATGTCATCTTCTACAATAGAGAGCGGGGCACAGTTTAATGTAAAAAATACTAACAATCGACGAAGCGACGTTAAGTGCCGGATCTATCCTCAGAGAATGCGAGCTTGACCCACTTCGGCTTTTGTGCTGAGCTGGGATCGTGCATGCTGCATTGTTCATGCAGGCCCTAGTGGAAACAAAAGAGCCCCTCCTCCCCCTCGCCGGAGAGCACGAACTCCAGCCGAACGCTGACGCCGCGTTCGGTTATGTCGGCCGAGCGCTGCGTCATTAGGGAGTTTTCGTAGACCGCGTTGCCCCCTCCGCTAAGCGTTACGCAGCGAAGAAGTTGCTACTGCGCCTGCGCGCCGATAGCCTTGACTGTGGAGTTCCCGCTATCGTAGCGGGTTGCGGAGGGCCTTGCGGGACGGCGAAAACGATCTACGAAAACTCCCTATTGTATTTGTTGTCCCCATCCGTGTAGTTGTTAAGTTAACCGCTTGGGGCGTCACGGTCTGTCCTCCTCCCCAATATTTGAAGGATGCGCAGTCTGAAAAAGATTCGGTAAGTGAGACGACGCGCTATAATTGCAGCTTTCGTTGGCAACACCAACGTTACTCGATCAGCTGAGTTGGCAAACTCCCACGGAGTGCGTGATCCTTTCTATGATATGCGTCGACACATGTCATTTTGAGCGGATAACCCCTAGATTCGGAAATACTGTTTCAAGCTTCATTGTTCTTGCCCGCTGCGGCCGTGTTTTAAACGGCTGTTGCAAGACACGCCGCCGCGAGCAAGGAGGTTGGTGCTTCGAACAGCGTTAGCCCGGCTGAGGGGCGCGAGAACGGATCACGCCCTCTGTGGGAATTGGCCAACTGATTTGCGTTCCCCGGACCTGCCACGGAAAGGGGGGGGGGGGGGGGGGGCAATGGAGTTGAACTCTTGCTGGAATCGGCCACCGGGCGTTGTGCCTGACGGCGGGGAATGGCAGGGTGTTCTTGCAAACGTTTCTTGCACCTCGGGGCTGCCATGGGGTGGGGACCTCGGCATACGGCGCGTTCACACATCACAGTCGTGGTCAGTGGGCGGATTGTCCGTTCCGCAGCGTGGGCACTTAGTGGTTCTCGGTGAGGGACGAACATCTACACAATGCCTGATCTTCCAGCTCAGATATTGCAGGCCTCCATCTTGTGTTTGAAGAGTACGCAGCGGTAGGGGGCCCCGTGGTAGCTGACCCAGTGGGGCACCTCCGGGCTGTCGAAGACTATTTGCACGGAGTTATTTTTTCCCATCCGGCGTTCAAGGAGGATAGCCGGGTCGTGATTGTACTCGATTAGGTATCGGCTGTTGTTCTCCGGTATATCGTATATCCTGACTCATTAAATATGATGCCGTGGGAAGTGTTTGCAGGATCTGCCACGTGTGTGGCCAGGGGATAGTTCTCTCCCCCGATGCGTGTGGTGTGTAGGTTGAAGTACGTGCGCGGCCGCTCTTTGGAGGGGGTGCTGATTAGTATTAAGTTGCGTCGATTCAGATTTGGTCGGCGGGTGCGGCGCCGTAGTTGGTCTGGGCAGCGTTGAAGGTAAGGTCTTGCAACTGGCCTGTGCTAATGGAGCTTAGGTTGAGGCCACCACGTAGACAAATGACGATCTTGTAGTCGTCGTCAGGTTGTCTTGGCAGCTATGGCGGGCGCGGATTGGATACAGGCCCTGGCGAGCTGCGGGAAGCCGAACGCTCGGTTGGGTTGGATGGCTTCAGTGAGGATATTTTTGGCTGTCGAGCCTCCTTTCGCCCGTATGGACTGGGATCCACTTCGTTTTGATGTCCTCCGGGGCGATGACTTCTCCTTCGACGACGACATTCATGTTGGAACAAATGGCTGGCAGATATTCGCCGTTCGTAGAACGAGCCTCGAGCAAGCCGATCTCTCCGCGGGCGTGCGGCGGCGGCGGGCCGACGGATCAGGGTAGTGTTTATGCCGGGATCACGTTCTCCTCCGGGGTTTGCGGAGCCCGGAGAAGTTGACCGTTCTCGCTGGTGCTGGGAACGCGTTTCCTCAGTAGAGGTGAACTTGGCTGACTACCAGCAGAACGTTTTATACCGCAGTCGGACGGGCACATTAAAGGCCTTCAAAACAAACTCCTTTACAGGGCGGGCGGACCAGCGCACGCCCATAAGCGGAAGATCGCGTGCTCATTCGCCTATTCTTTAAATGAGTTCGTTTCGAAGATCGTTAATGTGACTGTCTGAGAGCGGTATTAGAACATAGTCTTAGTTACTGCTCCTTTTCGAGCCCTGCAAACTAAACGGCCAACTGCGGTCGCGCTCCCTATTAAGGCTAGCTCACACAGCTATGTTTTCTTGCATATGCTACGTTCGAAAGTTTACGCCAGAAATCCCCCGTACGTCTTAACTTTATATTAAGCGTGGCAACCAGTCCATCAAGATAGCCTGGCAAGCGTCATTCGAGACACGAATGTTTCGGCGCCTAAGTAAACGGTGCTGTGTTAGTCTTCCCCGCTATGCACCCAATATTCGCGTAGAATATCCGATCGGGTCTGAGGGGACGTACCAGACACAACTATTCGTTTTGTTTTTGTGTTGTGCAAAAAAAAAAAAAAAACTCTCTTCAACCGATGCGCTAAATCAAGCCGGATTCCGTGCCATCGTCGTGGAGTGACTGGCGTTGGCACTGTGTATTGAATATGCAGTGTTATTTAAAATCTCAAATCAAACCTGTTCGGATAACGCGGCACCGTGGGGAACGGACAAAATGCGTTGTTTGATTGATAAGAATCGTTGAATTTTATGATGTGAGCGGGAAATACACATGCCTCTCGGCCATTTTGTGAGCTCCAAAAATCTCAACAGTTAAGACCTTCGTAGCTTGACACGGCTTAGTGTATGGCGTCGTAAATATCATGATAAAATAAAACGAACATTTCTTTTGCATTTATCCTGTCGCGCACGATCCCACCAAAAATGGCCTTTCATTTCCTTGTTTTTGTTTTGTTGCCCAAAATGGTACAATGCTATTTTAAAAGCCTCCAACAGTGTCCGGAATCGCGCCTGCACTGGCGGCCACAGTCCACTGACGAGAAAACCCACAGCCCAGCGCAGTCAGGCAACACTGACGTACTTTCAAAACAAGGGCCGCGCGCTGTAAATTGCTTCTTTCGAGACTTCCGCTAGAAAGGCTTATAGCAAGATTATGCCTATATTTACCAATATTAGGCACGTTTTAGGCTATTTTGGACAGCTATACCAAGTATACTGGAATATTTATCAATATCAGGCAGATACAGGGTGATATATGCCATATTGTCCAGCTGACCAATATTATAATAACATTTACTAATAGTGGGCACATACTGGATATTATTGGTAATATTATTCAGCCACACCAACCATGTCCTAATATTTACCAATAATAATAATTATAATTTTATTGTCAACGTTGTGGTACAAATATGCTCACGGCCCCGTCAAAGCCTATGGTGGCTTGTGGGACGGGGCCCTGCAAGTCGCGAAATGTGAGCTGACGTAAAGAAAAATGGAAATATAAACAACAAGAGGTACTATACACACATATACCCCCCCCCCCCCCCAACTCAACTCAACTTCGCTCAAGTCTGATTCAAAGCCTGCCTGGTCCCCATCCCCCTCCCCCCTCCCCAACCCCCCAAAAAAAACGAAAAGAAAAAAAAAGCAGAAAACTGTTTAAAACTGTTTACACTGAGCACATCGTGATAAATATACTATACTATATCAAAAGTATTCCCATATTTACCAATATTGGGCACACACACTGTGTAATATTGCTAATATTGTCCAGCTGTACGAAGATTGTCCCAGTATTTACCAATATTGGACACACACTGGATAATATTGGACAGCTATATTCCAAGATTCTCCCAATATTTACCAATATTGCGCATGCTGGGTAATATTAGCCCATTATAGCAAGATTTCTCTAACATTTACCGATATTGGGTAAATATTGAGGAAGCCGGAACAACTTTGTTCAAGGTGCGCGTTATCACCTAGGCCCAACCTTGGCCCAATATGTTCTGCTGCCTAAAACGTGTTCAGCAAAAGAAAAAAAAAGCTTGGCTTGAAAAATAAATGATTAAATAATATGCATGAAAATGAACGAGACCGATTAAAGGTTTTATTAATCGAGTAGAGGGAAGATGATTAATCAGCTAAAATATTATTCGACGTCCAGCCCTAATTATTATTCTTATTATTTAAGCGTATATAGATATCAGCTAATGAGCAGCGTTGTTAACTTCATTCTGAAAAAAGGTACTGAATTTGTTTGGGTGTGTTATTTAGGGCTAACGCCATCAGAAAAAAGTGATAATTATCTTTCATGAATCTTCATCACAAAAGATCCCAAAAGTTCTTTTATTTACTTCCGCTAAGGGGAAGATTGAATTGATTGTCTTGATTTTATTTCTTTAACTTTCTTGGGTTTGTTACAATTTCTGAAAGGAAAACAGAGGAGTGAAGACACGTGATATTAGTAAATACCCGTTACTAGCACATGCTTTAAATCCCCGCTGCTGAGCAGCATGCGAAGCGAAAGCTCACGCGGTACGCTGAAATGTGAGGAGCTCAAGTCCCACTAAAGCAGGCAGAAATAATCCATGCAATGACTACAGCGGCCTGCCCGTCAAACATATATGGCATGGAATTGTACTGATTTTTTTAAATCGTAATTTTAGAGCGGGAATACAAGTTGCCGTTCTAAGGAAAATTTACTTTCTGTACAAAAAGCATCAATGCAATCTATCTGACCCTTTCACTTAACACCCAGTAGGTATTTTTCTGTTAAACGTCCTACAGGGATGTCTAGTTAATATGAATATATCCGTTCCTCCCGAAAGCCTTCATTAAGTAAGTTGTTGTGGATAATAACAAGATGAGCATGCCAGTGTTTACCCGGTTCGTTTTCCCAAAATATCGTCTAAATAGTGCTGCATTCATTTTAGCAGGATACGCTTTACCAGGCATGGTTGTACTTATGCTAAGTATTTAAAAGTACAGAATGCTACAAAGTCAAAGTGTCCATGTAATGACCACACAGACAGACATACGTAAAAAAAATTGCGGCGGCTTAGCTCGGCTATGCCAAAATATACACAGCATGAGTTTATGCGCACAAAATAAGGGGCACTGTCAAGCAGCTCCGGTGCAGCGTAAGACTTGGCTACTGCGCAACGGAGGCGCACAGCTGGGCACGCGGCGGCGGCAGTGCGTCTGCCGCGGCTATGACATCACTCCTCTGGAATGCGCAGACCGGTGAGGCGGTCGCGGCGGTGGCGGAGCGCGCGGCGGCGGCGGCTCCGGCGCGCCAGCTGTGCGCCGTGTGACGTCACTGCTCCTCGCGCATGCGCAGCACGGAGCACGGCTCATTATGCGAGCCACGCGAAACTGCTCAATTTCAGCCACGGTAGCTCACGCTACGAAAATACTCGCTAGTTTTAAACTTCAGCAAGACAAGTATTTTGTCTTAACCTTAAGACACACTGTTCTACATACTACAGCGTTTATCTACAATGTTCGTCCGCGGACTTTAGTAAAAGGCATGAGAAGCTCTGCCCTGAATTCCTTAATTAATTATAAATATAAAACCGCTGCCTCTAAAATATTTTCTTAATGTGGAAGGTACCTAATGTGGAAGGTGCACATCATCTGCTTGCTGTCTAATTATAATTTGTTTATTAATGCGAAAGTTGTCGAGTAAAACACGAAAAGTGTCATTCAAAACAGAGAATCATTCGCTTACTTAAAGTATTTTCCCCATCGACCTTGATTCGAGGTAATACTGTAAAATAAATTAGTATCAAATGCAACACAATTAAGTAAAACCACAGCTCAAATAATACATATGCTTATTTTTCGATTTGAAGGTTAGACGGATCAAAGTCGCATACATTTAAATGCATGCACTGCTATTGTCATTGAAGCATATTTTTGATGTTTAGACGTTTATCTGACAAATGAACTGAGCACATCTGGCAGATTCAGGGGAGGGGTGAGATTTTATGTGGATCATATGGGAATATTTCCATATGGAAACAACGTCTTCTTTAGAAGGGCCCCTCACCCTTGTAGGTGACCCTAAAATTGGGGATCCCCGCCTTGTTTTGAGACGCCTCTGCAAGGGATCCGCATACCCCATCTCTCTTCCCCGTCGCTGAGGCTGGTCAAGAATTTGTTTTCTCTCAGATTTAATTTAACAGGTAATTTGTAATTTGCATGTTAATTTTAGATGTTGAAAGCGACGTGAGATTGTAACTTTTGGTGTTTTGAGAACCGTTAATATAAGAAGACATTTGGGTTTTCCTTTTACATTTAAGAAGTACATTTTTAAGGCCACTAAAAGGTGTAACATTAGTTTATTCTCATGGCTTTCTGGCACTATGCTTTGCAAAATATATACCCAATAATTTTCTATAAATGCAGTAGGGTACCACTTGCTCTCTGTACAAAGCAAGCTCTATTTTAAATTATAGAGTGTGAAATGCCGGGAATCGCACACATGAATAAGCAGCGCACAGGCGAAAAAAATAAAAACACAATGTGAATGCCATAATCTCCTGATACTTTTGTACCTTTTTTTAAGTTGGGTGGTTAAGAATTTGGCTAAGATACTTCTAATAATTAGGCAGTTTTAAAAACAGTTAATAAAAGTAATTGCTGTAGATATTGTGGCTAAGCAATGTTTTAACCTGCTTAATAACTGGTTTATTTGGTTTTAGTCTGATATACACAAACAAAAGTAATCTTCCTAGTAATATGAAGTGGACGGCTTTCCTTGGTTACAGAGAAAAAAATAGGTCACTGGACATCAATTCACTTGAAAGGCAAAAGTGATTGAATGCAACTATAGCGTTTTTCTCGATATGAAATAATTTATCATGGCCATTATTGGTCATAATATGGTTATCAGAAGCAACACTAAAATATATATTGAGTTCAGAAATGTGTATATTTTTAGAGCTCATGTACCAGCTCATAGCAGTAGCGGATTAATCACCTTTATGATATAAGAATCTAGTATAAAAAAGCGGCACTTCTCTATACGGAAAAACAAAAACACTGAAATCTTAAAAACGATTGCCTTGAAACAAGCCTAAAATAAAAGAACCGACTTGAGTTGACATGTCCGACAAAACAAACTTTAGGGGATGAAGCACGTGGGGTGACTCACCTCCTTTGAACAAGTTTAAACAAAAGCTCTCCGGTCTTCGCTTCTTTTTCAGGAACGTATGTCAAAAGCATTGGCACCATGGTGTGGTACAGAGTCGTGTGTTTTACATAGGCTTAAATATAAACATTAGTAACACAGATGCTTATAACAGGACATTATTTAATGCTAGGGCAGCTCATCAGTGTGCAGGTTTTACGCTCAATATAGCGGATTTTCGTACGCAGAATGTAAAAATAAATTCCTATCAATAGTGTGATTGCAAAATACATTTCTCGGGAAAAAAACAGCAAGCCACAGCGGACGTCCCAAATTGCAGAATACATCATAATTGGCTACATTATTTCTAAAACTTATTAATTAACGTTTTAATGAGCGAAAACAAGATATAGATCAATACAGATACTCGATGAACTTCATCACAAAAAATAAATCAACTTATTTTAGAAGGACGTAGAACACTTAGAGCATTCTAGGGTGTTGCAATCAACGTTCAATTTGAACGCGTTTCTAGTTTCATATTTCGATCCTATCAGAGCGCATTCTTACGCCAGCAGCGCCGTCCCCCACCCCCTCCCCCTCCCACTTGTGGAACTGTCGCGGATCTCCCGCACCGCCTCCCTCAACGGACGGAAGCAAGTACGGCGCTCCTCGGCCACAAGGGGTGGGGGAAGGAGGGGGGGGGGGGGGGGGGGGAAATCCTTGGATTGTTGGCGCAAAAGTGCGCTCCGAGTGTTTTTTCGCAGCGTCATAAATTGCTCTACGTGCTTTCTGTTTTTCTTAAATTAGTCGATTTTGATGCTTAGCAAGTTTCCCATTGAAACCGCGTGCTTTGACAGATAAAACATTTAGTTAAGTTTAAGATCATTGTTTAGCTAATTACTGTCTTTCTGCGATCCCCGACGTCCGCCATGGCTGGCCGATGTTCCCGTAAAGAGTTTATTTTTAATGTGAAAGCATTAACTGGTCCCATGGAGCGAATTGACGTCATCAGCTTTGAAACCGCGCCGAACGCAGGCCAAACGGCACCTAAAATCCCCCTTTTTAGTGAAGACGATTTGTGATTGATTATGCTCCCATTAGCTGGCTTGCGTCATCAATGAACAAGGCTCCCATTGGCTCTCCTGCAGCGTAATTCCCCCCAAAAAAAAAGACACCAGAGGAGCCCTCTCCATGGTGGCGCAGCGCACGCAGCGGCTCGCCCGTCTGAAAGAGAAGGGATAGGTAGCGGCAGGGTCAGAGCCCGCCCGGGCAAAGTCCAGAGTCCAGAGCGGTCACACCGCCGAGCTGGGCGCGGCCACTTCCCGAAAGCGCGCGCTCGGCCGTCCTTTGGCGAAAGGTCGCCGTCTACGCCACTACGCCGCAGAAGAACTGAGGGAGCGGAAGAACGACATTCAAGCTTTCGCATTCATAAAATATAGTCGCCTAGCTTTAACTCGCTTTTACCAATATTAGTTATTCTCGCATTAATTTGGCAAGAAACCCTTACCCAAATAATTAACTTCTTCTGAATCGTACATCCTGTATCTGAAAAAAAAAAGTCTGTTATATTCAAATGTTCACACAGAAACGGTTATGCAGGTATTAAAAAAGACTAACGCGAGTGGATATTTTGCTAGTTGAATGGCTAGGTTCAGACAGCGAAGCCTACTGCTTCGTGAATATAGCTTTCAGCATTTTTAATCTTATTCGAAAACATCTTTAGGGTATGCTGGTTAAAGCTTCTCGAGCGTGGATCGTTGAAAATGCGGATATGGTCTTGAGCAAACATTTGTTTCCGAAATCGAACGTATGCTGAAGTTAAGAAACTTTCAACGGTGTCTGAGACCCCTTGTGGGCTGTATCTTTTTATGTGTTCCTCCGTCTCTGGTTTTCTTTGAGTTCTAGCAATTCACAGCGCTATGTTTTCACTAGAAAAGATATCTTCATGCTAATATCCGGAAACCCTAAAGTTGAGATGCGGTACTGACAATGCTCCGTTGGAGTTAGGATGGCCGATACATCAATTATAATCTGGATTTTTTAACCTATTCTTTACATCTACATTTCTTGGCTTCTAAAGAAAATACATTTAACAATCGCCCTGCGATTGTGCGATTGTTATATTATTGAACTAATGAATATCTCCCTGCGCGGATTATTAATGCATGAAAACGCTCAAAAAGATCTGTTTTCCCATCGCTAGTTTTGTGTTGTCACGATTAGTGTTACAAGGTCTTGATATCTTGACAAATTGTTCTGTAACACAAACGGCCAGTTACGACCACTACCGCGTCTTCACGTTTAGTAGACCGTGTACTTTTTACCACCTCTAACAATATAATTTCTTCTGAAATCTAAGAGGGAAGGATTCTTGTATTTATGAAGTAAAGTTGTTTTTGCAATTGTGCGTAACTCTTTCTCGCAGGAGATGTAAACGCCGATTTAAAAAGAAAAGTGGCGGGGTACTTGTGGGGACATTAACATGCACTGAGGACAACAAAGAAGTCTTCCAGCTTATAAAACATGACAAGCTGTCCTGACACTAAGCACAAGACACTCCGAGTTCTATACAAAAAGTATGGCCACGGCGTTGCTAGATAATTGTAATATATATCAAATTGAAGTTTTAGGCCATTTGAAGCACCTAAATATCAAAGTTGTACGATAAATTGTTTAGCGTTACGATAATTTGTATACAGAGTTGGTTGTCTTTCAATTAGGTCTGCGTACATTAACATCTTACTAAGAGGATGTACAAACCTTGTAACAACGCAGATAATATCTGGGTTGTCTCTGTTCTGATAATACTCTTCGAGGTAATCCAGGAACGTAGGACCGTGTATTAGACTGTCGCTGGACCAGTACTGAATTTTGTTGGTTATGTCGTTATCAGTCTATGCAAAAACGAAATCAATATTATTTAAAATACATACTAACACCAGTAAATGTAACACAGTGCGTATGAAACCAAGCCACTTACGATGTTGATCTCCGTAATATTAAACGTGATATCCAGCTTAAATTCTTTGTTTAAATCCACTTGTGCCTGCGGAAATATTGACAATTGATATAATAAAATATTTAGGTATATACTTGTATTGCTGTCCTTGTTTTTATGCAATTTGAAGTAATTAGCAAATTAAAAGAAACTGGAAAATTTTCGCCATTCAAATGTAAAGAAATATAATCACTGCGATGAAAGCTTCGTTTATTTCAAAATTAGCAATACATTGATACAGCAATGGTGTCCTAGAGTATTTGTCGAGTATTCCATAAAGTTATAATTAATTAAACCTATTTGCAGAACGGGTCTTTATTATTCCAGGTTCTCAATATGCGGCAAGTGAATAATTTTAATTCCTAAATAATAAAATAAAAGGGGGCTGAAAGTTAGGGTGCTGCCTTCACCATGCATTTATCAGGCTCGGCGGATGTTTGAGCGGATACTTGTCATGAAAAGTTGGCTGATTAACTATTATTTATTCATTTACTTTTTCATTATTGGTGTTAAGGGTCATGTTGGAATTAGAGTATTAACGGCGATTACTCTTAGAGGCCAGATCAATTAAAATAACTTTAAGATAAGGTAATGGTTTGTAAGATATTAATACATTTTCGAATTTACTTACCAACTTAAAAATTGCGCGAAAAAAAAACTTATCAGTCCTTGCTGTTAATGACTCTTGAAAAAATATTTTTTTTAGGGTCGCGAAAGTGCAACATGACCCTAAAACCAATATTCATATAGGCAATTAAAACAATTTTGTTCCTTAGTTAACTTACCTTGACGACTATCCCTGACATCTAATTTCTCCAGATCTAAAAATACATGGTGACGAAAAAACACGTCTAATTCACACCCTCTAATAATAAAAAAAAAATAGTTCAAATCAATATTAAACACTCTCTATTACGGGTTTTCTCATTTTTGAAACAGTATGTTATCTCGGAGGTCAATTTTTGTAATTTTTACTTAAAACGAAGTAACTCAACTTAAAGTGATTGTAAACTCACCGCGTGTCCTGCGATTTGCCCACCCCAGCGCGTGGCTATGATCGATCCATATTGGTGAGATATAATCGGCTTCAGATCAGGGGCCACTTGCTCTAACTGCGAGTTGAGATGATGAACGCTGCTCTTTTTTCTATTAGATTTCTCTGCGACTTCGATTGCGTGTGGTGAAAAACCAACACGTGTTTCATAGGTCATTACCGTCAGTAATTCGTTCTAAGGGTATCTCCGCTAAGTACGAAAATTGTTGCATCGACACCTTTAAAATATTCGGGATGGCTCATTTTATATATTAGATTGTTTCCTTGTAAAGGAAAAAATCAGAGTAAATTTTGTTTTAGGAGACAAATATTTTAAGTCCAGCACCCGCGTAATTTGTTTTCGTTGTACAGTATGGAGCATTCACGGCACAACAAAGCAGTTCAAGGTACATGCAATATATGACCGAAACTCTATGCGCTTGGGGCCTGAAGGCATGTGGCATGTCTCGAATTTCCTAGCTGCAAATCTGTGCTGTGCAGTAAAGGAACAGTACGGTACCACGAAAACGGATACCATGGGAGCTCAATAATTTTTATCGCCTAAAATCAAATAAGCAAAAAAAAAAATCGCTTAGATCAGTGGCAAGGTAACAAGCTGTTGTATCTAATCAGCCGTCCAGCATATTTTTATCCGAAGGCCTTGATGCTTAATTTGTGTGCAAATCTTCAACAAACGTAAGTTTTTGACACTAGTGATTTAAAATCAAGAGATTCGTTCCCTTTGTTGCACTCTAATAATTTTAACCTTAAATATAGCAACAGCCCAGCCAAGATAAGGCGTTAAAATATCTTCAAATTTAACAGTGTTTTCTGTTTTAAATGGTGGACATGCCCCGTTTTCCGCTTATTAACTTAAAAAAAGATTTATGTAAAATGTATTACTTAATATTAACTCCGGCACCACATGGAATAACAATCTCGGCACAGTATGTAAAAGCATAATATCTAACATACTTGAATCACTTCGATTTTTCAGAATTATAACTTATGCCTAGTTCGGCTTTGAAGCACTAATTTCAGAGACCACTCACGTGATCCAACATTTCAAATAAAAAAAAAATGTTTGGCCAAAATAATTTTTACATTGTAGCATACAACGACAATTTCTCTCGAAGAGATCGGGAATGGTCGTTACCACCGCATGGGGTGTTTAAGATAGAATGAAGAAATATCAATAAAGTGACCATGATGTCCAAAGTAAAATATGGCACGGACGAGGGCATACTGTGGTGATTTACACTGTGGTCCAGACTTAACTCTGGAAAGAAGATTTCATAATGTTTGCAAATGAATATTTTAGCCCAATGCACTTTCGAGTAGTGTTTTAGCACAATAAACGTTATTGAGGAAGAGCGTTACGACAACTTCTTCCTCTCCCCTCTCCTAAGAAGAAGTGGAATACATTTTGAGGATTATTGTTTGGGAACCTTTAACGCCAAGCGTTATCTGGGGAACAAGTACTATTAACACGTTTACTTTTTGTGGGTGGAAACCTGCTCGACACTAAACGTTAGAATATATGCCTAGAAAAGAAGGTTATCTTATAAAGTACGTTAGAGTGTTTGCATCAAAAGTTTTAATGTATCACAAAGCTGAGATACTTCTTACCTTTTCTTGGACGCCCTTCAACCATTTTCCCACTTGAGAATCCAGTGTTGCATTTTCTGCATCAAATCCCTTCCCGTCCAAGAGGTAGGCACTGGTAATGATTCTTGTAGCTATGGTTATTCGTTGAAAATATGTTATATCAGATGCAAAAAGAATATCCTTACTTTTGACTTGCTGAAGTCTCTAAATTACTGAGGTGCCACTTAGAAGCACTAGAAACATTTGTGTTTGATATATATATAATCAGAGCCTAAAAAAATACGGCATCACAAAGAAATGACATCCCACGCTCGTCAACAAATACACGAATAATTTTTTACCGTATTACCTATATATAACGAAAGAAAAAAAAAGTTGTCAGAAAGAAAACATTTTATCAAGAATACTCGTTTGCGGCTCCCACGCAACTGAAACCATAGACTGTGGAACCGAAAGCACTTCAACTTATAATTTGCGTTTCCACGGTTTACATAGCACTAACTCGAACGAATGAGTTTGTTTTGAATTGCTTTGATCAAAACTTTGCCTGTTTAGCAGCGTATTGACATAGGTTGCGGGGCTAATAGAGCGTAAATGCACATTTTAGAACAAAGAAAAAAACGAACATAACGCCATAACAGCGACTGGACCTTGAAGTTTGCATGATACTCTTTTTTATTTCAGCGGTAAAGGCGATAAACACAATTAAGAAAACTATAGTCCTTATAGTCCGGGGCACACTTTGCACGGGTTGTCGAAGCGCCGCTGTTGAAAATGTCTTTGTTCTAGACTCCGCTTGACGCTACAATACTGGTGAGAAAATATCTCAAGACAGAATAGAAATCCCTATCTCCACAATATTCTAATGTAGCGCGCTTGGTTTAAAGTACATTTTTTCAATAAATACGCGAGAGTAATTGATATCTCAGCTAAATATATTTTAGCCGGAAGTGCTTAAGTTGTGATTTGAAACGAGGCTAGTTAAAAGTTCCTGGGAGCATGTGACGTTTTGCCACACAGACTTTTCTGCTTGAGTGAGTCGACACCTACCATTTAGAAGTTTATTTTATATTCATTGATGCCTTTTACTCCGCTAGAATTAAAAGTCAACTTTTTGAAGCTTGAGATAAGATGTACCAGCACAACAGCCAAAAATGGAGTTGCGAACAACCACGCAAAGTGTGCAAAGATTGAGAAAGGCGGTGGCTCCGCTGTAGAAAAATGTGCTTTAGGATATTTGCTTTTAGTTAATGTGCTTTAGAATATGGGTTTAGGAGCTTTGTGTTTGGTGCAATAGAAGGAATAGAAGTTAAAGAGGTGCAGTAAGGGTTTTGTGATAGGATAGGCGCATTTCTGCCCTCCGTCTACTCTGGTCAGCGTCGTACACATGTCATTCCCGCTCCCCGGACGGTAAAAAAAACCTTTCGCAGTGCGGCTGGGTCTGGGAGTGAGAAAACTGAGCTAGGTTCCGTAGGGACCACGCCTTTTTTGTAAACGCCCCAAAGAACCTTCCATACCATCGAAGTGGCGGCGGCGGGTGCGGTTAGGGAGGTGACAAAGGGGGATGCGAGAGAGAAAAAAGAAAGAGCAACAGCGCATCTTGGCATAGGTGACGTGTTTGTGGGAGGAGCGATGATGATAGGAAGAGAGCGATAGCGCGGCGGCGATGTGGCTGTCCGCGCCTCGCGATAACGTAAATTTTTGCTTTTTGACGCTCCCAGATTTCACCGGAAAGCGGCACTAATAGCCACCATCATCAAATGATGAAATATGCATGAAGCCTTATCCCGTTTAATTTAATGCAAATCAACGCAGTTTTGAAAACTGTGAGTATATCAAATTACTTACGTCGATGCTTGGGAAGCTTTGACTTGCGTTCAGCAGCAAGACAAAACATAAGTGATGCTAATGCCAGAGCTCCAAAAAAGAGCCTCATTTTGAAGCGCTAAGAGTGGTACCTGTAAGACAATTACTTGAGCACATTGCGAGCACTTTTTATTCCAGTGCAATGCGGAAGACCGCAGTTGTTTTTTTGTGAAAACATTATTCGATTGCCCAGAGGCATTGCCTCCTGTCGCCATTCTATTAATTCGTTTCCGGCATCAAGCGAAGATCGCTTCCGGAAAAGATAATTACTTTGTATTCTGGGAAAAGCAAGTTGTTGGAACTGACTCTGATGGCATTGTTATGTCTAACGATGATTCTGCAAAATTCCTCAATGAGCTCTTTGTGGAATCGTTTTCTAGGTATGTAAGCTGTTCTATTGTTACTTACCGTAATCATGATTTCTTTCCTATGAACCCGTTTGTGTTGATTTTGATGGCATTGTCAAGCTGCTTGACAACCTCAAAGTGTCTTCATCTTGTGGTATGTATAATATTAACACTAAGTTTCTAAAGAATACTGGTGTCCTTCCTAAAGATTGGAAAACTAGCGAGGTGGTTCCACCTCATAAATCAGACGACAAACACTGCCCCGATAATTATAGACCCATTTTCATAACCAGTACTCCTTACAAAATGTTAGAGCAAAACATTATTTAACTTCTTGTTAAATATCTCGAATCCAACTCTTTTTTCTCGTCCTCACTGCAGGGGTTTCGTAAATTTCTTTCTTGTGAAACACAACTTCTCGTCTTTACTAACGATTTATTTTCATTACTTGATCATGGATCCCAGGTTGACTGTATTTTTCTTGATTTCTGCAAAGCATTTGATAAAGTTTCTCACCAGCTACTACTCTTCAAGCTTAGCAAACTCAACCTTGACCCTCAAATACTAACTTTGATTGAGTGTTTTCTTACAGATCGTTCTCAGTTTGTTCATGTAAATAACTCTAATTCTTCGGTGTCTTCTGTTACTTCTGGCGTCCCTCAAGGCTCCATTCTAGGTCCTTTTTTATTCCTCATTTACATCAATGACTTGCCGTTGTATGTCTCATCACCGCTTAGTTTGTTCCCGGATGACTGCGTTATTTATCGTAAGATTACTAATGTTTCTGACCCTCTCCTTCTTCAAAACAATTTAAATACTGTTCTTGATTGGTGCAATCTGTGGTCTATGAAACTTAACAGTAAAGAATGTAAAACCATGAAAGTGTCTCGCCGTGACACTTCGCCTTTTATTTATCATCTTGATAACGTTTCTTTAGAATGTGTGACTTCATATAAATGCCTCGGTGTGCATATTACTTCTAACCTCTCCTGGCATATTCATATTAACCACATCGTTACTAATGCCAATTCTATGCTAGGCTACCTAAAACGTAACTTTTCTCTGGCACCAGTTTCTCTCAAATTAATATTATTCAAATCCTTGGTTCGCTCAAAATTAGAGTATGCAGCTTCAATCTGGGATCCTGGTCAGACGACGCTCACTTCTCATCTTGAGTCAGTTCAGAACCGCGGCGCTCGTTTCATACTTAATGATTATCACCGTACTGCAAGTGTATAATTCATGAAATCTCTTCTCTCCTTGCCACTGCTTTCTTTGCGCCGTAAGTGTTCTCGTCTATGTCTTTTCTATAAAATATACAATTCTAACCCCATTCTTAAAAAAAAGCTCTTCCTCGACCCATCTTGCGTTTCTCCACGCATTGATCATCAGTACAAAGTCGGCGTTCCTCATTCTCGAACTTCAGCCTATCACGATTCTTTCATTCCTAGGACATCATCAGAGTGAAACCACCTTCCGGCGTGACCCGTGACCTATCATGTCTTCTATTACTGTTCGTTTTCTTCTTTTTTTTCACTCACTTCCCTCCGTAACGCCCCCAGGGCGTTGAGGGTATGTAAATAAATAAGTAAATAAATAAAGGTAATTATTTTGTATTGTTGGAAAAGCAAGTTGTTGGAACTGCATATTTCGTTTGAGCGAAACGCCTCAATTTCGGAGGGACCAATTGCGCCCATACTACCGTGGTTCTTCAAGTACAAATAGTGTTGACAAGGTAGACAACATTGGAAAATAAAATTTAAAGAAAGGGGTTCCTACACATTGTTTAGAGCACATTGTTTTCCTCCTCTGCCTCGGGATTTTCAACTGTGCCTAAAAATGTCATAGAAAGCTTCCAGAAAAATATAGGACAGTGAACATGTAGCTTCTTTTTAAAGTTCCCGCGCGGGATCCTGAGAAATAAATTTATAGGTAATGCTCTACACGTGCACTGACTTGCTTGCATATTACTCATTACAGGAAATAAAATTACTCGTAAATAAATACTATTTGGTGTAATTTTGCAGTAATTTGAATTACTTTATTAGGTAGTAATCATAAGAGTAACATGATCACTTTTGAGAGTAATAAAATTACTTGCAACCGTTACTAATTTGCATTTCCTTTCCTAATGGCACCCTTTGTTTGCACTATCTGCCAACGAATTCTCGAATCAAGTCTCGGGCAGGGGTTTGGTGTACATAAAGTGGTTGATGTACACGAATTTGTAATCCGGTGATTATAAGCCAATAAATCACAGTACGAAAAACCCGCATTCAAACCTGCCCGAAAACCGTTTCGCAAATATGAAGTAATTAGAAAAGTAGCGGTTACTTGTTTGAGTAACGGTCAATTAATTTTACTCTTCATTAATCGAGCAATCGAATTGAATACTTTTGAACCCAGAGTAATTGTAATTATAATCAATTTTTCAAAAGTAATATCTACATGACTGCCCCTGCGTTGCTTTCTTTTTTATGCCTGATAGCGATTTGCGACGAAATACGCATATCACTGAAATAACACCATAATTCACAAAAGTATGAATTATGGTTTTGTTTTACCCCTACTTGAAATCTGACCGTTCGTAGAATATCAACGAAAGCAGAAGGAAGGTAAGTCAAGAAACAATTTACTTATACTTCATTAGGAGAGTCAAAAAGTTTAAGCCATGGATTACACGTGACATTCTACATTTGAAGCGTAAAATACGGCGAGTTCTTAAATTGGGTAACGGGAATAACATTTCGTCTCTACCATTTTTGCGCAGACAGTTGAGGTCTTCTGTTAAAAATGCTAAACACCGTTTTTTTTAAATTTTATTTAACGTCACCTTGCATAACTATCTGTCTAGTGATCCTCGAAAGTTTTGGAGGTTTTTGAAACGAAAGAAATGTTCTTTCTCGGATATAAAACTGTACAATATCCTAAAAAATAACAAGCTGTTAATTTGAAATGCTTTCACCAAGTACTTCACGTATACTACGGAAATGGGAATAGTTCCAAGTTATGAGAGCTCTAGAATAGTGATACCGGACATCAGCATTACTGAAGAAGGAGTTTTTATGGCCCTTCTTAACCTTGACGTTAGGAAGAACCACGGCCCCCGACGACATTCCGAATGTTTTTTTGTTTAGATACGCTGAATGGTCGGCAAAGTTTTTGCATTTGATTTATTGGCATAGTCTTAATACGGAAGACGTGCCTGATGAATGGACAAGGACTAGGGTGATACCAATATTTAAATCGGGTGACAGTTAATGCGTCAAAAACTACAGACCTGTTTCACTTTTGTGTAGGGCCAGTAAAGTTCTTGAGCACTTCGTATTCAAGCATCTTATAGCATTTTTTGAGGACAGTACGTTTTTTTCAGGATGAACAGCATGGATTGAGACGTGGTTTTTTAACTGTAACACAACTTGTTCATACGATACACGAACTTCCGGTTGTTATTGATATTGGCGGACAGACTGATGTTATCTTTCTAGATTTTGCGAAAGCGTTTGATCGCGTCTCCCATGACAAACTATTGCATAAGTTACTCTACATCAGCAATAACGGGAACATAATACCATGGCTTGATTCCTATCTTATTAACCGTGCGCAGTGTGTTAGTGTCGACTCTGTTTTTCCCTTGAGCCACCCGTTTTCTCAGGCGTGCCCCAAGGCTCGGTCCTTGAGCCGCTTTTGTTTTTAATCTTTATTAACTATTTAAAGATACACCACCCCAATGTACAGAGCCGATTTCTTGCTGACGATTGTGTTTCATTTCCTAAGGTAAACAACCCGTGTGATCAAGAAGAATTAAATTATTGTCTATCTTTGGTTCATGCATGGTGTTTAAAATGGAATATGGTTCTGAACTGTAAAAAGTGCGTTCAAATGGCCGTGACGCGGAAGAACAACCCTTTGTTTTTAACATATACTATCAATAGAGTACCACGCGAGACTATTAAACAATATCAATACCTCATAGTTTTAATTACCTCTGATTTGTCATGGAGTGCACATATTGAGTTTATAGCTCGTAAGGCAATGAGGAAACTCTGGTTTTTGAAACGAAATATTAACCTCTGTTCACCTAAAACTAAACTGGCTGCTTATAGAACCATCATAAGACCAATGCTAGGATATGCATGTATTGTATGGGACCCTCATACAAAGCTGTCAAATGATATCTTAGAGACTATGCAAAAAAAAAGCATTGCGGTTTGTGTACAACCGTTACGGTTTATGTAATCCGTTTTAGATTTCTACCTAAGATCGGGATTGAGTGATTTAGCAAACCGGAGGAAAACAGAACGGCTGATGTGTCTTTATAATATGATACAATGTAATTGGGGTCTGCGTCTCTATGATTACACTTCATTTAACGAAACAAGTCCCCTCGAGAGGCAAACACCAATTAACACTTGTCGAACCCTTGTGTCGAACCGCTTTGTTTAAAGCATCCTTTTTTGCTAGACCCATATGTGAGTGGAATAAGCTTCCTGAAAGTGTTGTAAATTTGAGATTATTAGATACTCTTAGTGAAGCAGTACTCTCACACTTTGTTGAGTAGTGACTCTGTTTGTTTTCCCTGCTGCCGCTTGTTTTTGAATATTGTTTTTGTACACCTCCTGCCCGGGCGTTCTACAGAATGCTGGCGGTATCACCTAATAACTAAATAAATAAATAAATATTCACTACACTTTGCTGGAGCTGCGTCTTATAATGTACAGAG